TTGGATGAAAAATCCAATTAGACTTTAAACTGAAACAAGTAACCTAACAACACTCTTTACAATCTTTCGCTTTGCTCTTCTCACACTACAAACAATTAATAAACAAAAAGCCCAGTATGTAAAGAACTGTCCGGGCATGATAGGTTCAGAAATGGCATAATAATGTTTTCGCCACTGGTTGCTTATTAATGCAGGACCTCAAATCAGTCATTCTTTTAATCCTAGGACCTAACACAATGGTTACTATATGAACAAAACCACAAACTTAAAATAGAATTTTAAGTATTATTTGTATAAAATTTTATCTCAGAATTTGTTAAAAAAATGTGTCATAACAAAGTTTATTATACTTATAAGATATTGTAAATACTTACGAGTGTTAAATGTTCTTTTATATAATACTCTGTAAAATAGAAATCGTGCTTTATAAATTTAATTAGGAAAAATATCAAGATAATATTATGCCAAGGGTATGTAAGACTGAGAGATTTTTATATTCGACTCTGAGTCCTGATAGATGGACAACTTTTGGGCCAGTTTTACATAGTACCTTCCACCATAAATAAAGGAAATAAATGAATCAATGGCATTTCTTGTTTTTAATATTTATTTTCTCCTTAACCATTGGTAATTTATTTGGTTTATTCTAGGTTTCAAATCTTCTTTATGGTACCACTCCATTACCAAAGATTTTTTGATAGGATCTGATGTATGGAATAAAAAATCAGTCACATTTAATTCATCCTATTTACTTTTATGGCCATGGCATTTTCCACATACATAATGGCCTTCTTAATTAATCCATTTAATCTAAACTTAAATTGGAGGAAGATAAAGTTAGAAGAGAGGGAATTAAACTTCACTTTGGAGTAATTAGAAGAAATGTGGGGGAATGAAGTCACAAATACAAACTGTGCTGCTAAGAGAGTATATCTTGTATATTAAAAAAAAAAAAAAAAAAACACCTCACTGCCATCGAGTCAATTCCAACTTCTAGTGGCCTCTTCTTGGGTTTCAGAGGCAGTATCTCTATGGAAGTGGATTGTCCAGTCTTCCTTCTGAGGAGTGGGTGGTGGGTTTGAACTGCCAGCCTTCTCGTTAGCAGTCAAATGCTTTAGGCACTACACCACCCCGCAGGGCAGCTGGTGAGTTTGAACCACAGACCTTTGGGTTAGTAGCCAAATGCCTTAACTACTATATCACCAGAGCTCCTTTCTTGTATGTTCACAGGTTTTAATTTTTTTTTAAGAAGATTGATATCATCTTTGAACTCTCACATAAATCCTACCTTATCATTTTTGAGCAACCTAATCAAAACAATTTGTGTGTGTGTTTTTGTTAAGCATGTAGCATCAATTACAAAGTAATTTTTGAGCCTTCTTTTATGTGACAAGAGCTACCTTGTTCTATAAATCTCAAATAGCAACCTCCTTCTTCAAATTCACAGCTTTAATTTGGGATCTGTGAGGTAGAACTGAAAGTCAAGCAACCACAACAAAGAAGTTTACCAAAGATTACTTTTAGAAGCCAGATGCTATTATGTTAGCAGACTCTCACAATGTACATCTTAAGCTAGGCTATAGGTATTCTTGGCAACTACATGAAACAATTTAAAAGGTTCTCTAAACTAGAAACAGAAAAGACAGCATAATGTAGCAAATATGCAGTTTGGTGAAGAACAAATTACACAAGATTTACTTAATAACGCTCACAGACTGAATTTCAAACCTTAACATTGTTGTGGGCACAGGAGACAGGCCCGGCCACATCTCCCGGAACTTTACAGATTCAAGAATTGCTTTTGGAAGCTGCACTATTTCAGACCGCTAAGGTAACCTTAAGTAAATGACTGTTTCAATGTTCCAACTGCACTTAGTTTACTACAGCAGTAAATTATCCTAACTCTGAAATTCCCAAACTGTTTCTGAAAACACTATAGCAAACCAGCAAAGCTCTGTCCTTTAGCTCATTCTATTCCTGCCTAGTCCCTTGCTTTAAAATACGCCCTAAAAGCAAGCATTAACATTTGCCAAGCAATTTGAAAATGAAATGCTGTCTAGTATAGCCCCATGGGTGCTTGACTAAATTCTCATTGACTGTCTAGAATGGAGTGGAGATATCAGAACTTGACTGTGTCAATTGGGCCAAATATTCACTCACATATGAAAAAAAAAAAAAAATTGAGATTGTTATTGAGTAATTAATCCATAGTTGAGATCACGGGAATTCTTTAGACAGGCTATATAAAAATGGGATAAGTTTTTCTAGACTCCACACATTGTCCACACACACACACACACACACTCATAACCATGTATTTATATCTTATTACTCCAAAGAGGAATTTCAATAAATAATACTTCAGAGGATAAAAAGTAATCCTTTGCTAACTTGACTAGTATTCTTCAGTTTTATTAAGAGCAGGCAGACCTCTTTGTCATCAGATTTCAGTGTGTTACATGTGAGATCACTTTTCTTATATAGCATTAGATGCTAAAAGGAAGAACATGCATATGGTATGGTCATTAGAACAGAATAAGCACAGCACATCATTCTTCTGATACAAGTAGACTTACAACCTAATTACTCAGAAAATGTTTGAAAACTGAATATGTAAATATTTGGGAACATCGATGTCAGAAATATTTTTTCACACCTAGAAATTAACACTCAAAAGGCTGGAGAGGGATTATGTACCCACAGCCTCTAGGTCACAGTTGTAAATGTAGTTCAGTATTCAAACAGATGCACTAGTATCTTGATACGCTATTTCTGTCAGTTTCTGGCAGTGGCTCTGATCCCAACAGCAATTACTGGTAAAGAATTTAGGCTCAACTATTTAGAAAAGTGGCTTTATTGAATTTACAAACAAGGCCCTACAATTTTCCATTTCCTTAGCAAGACATTAAATCAACCAAGCTAAGCATGTCATCATGACTATAATTTACGTGATGTGACATGACAGTTAAGATGAACTGCGGTAATTTGTGAGAGCTTGCAGTATTATTGTAGTATCAAAAATTTATATGGTTCAGTTATTAAGGCAAATTGTTTCATTCACACTGAGATGTCTGACAGTAAACCACCAAGGGTTTCCACATTACATTAAAAAATGTCTTCCATATTCAAATACTTTGCACACCCTGTTACCGTTATTTTGCTCACTGAATAGAAGCTGGAGCAGAGACAAGCACAGCTTTTTGATGTGAAAATGATCTGTCGGGGAATAGGAAGTGCTCCATTGTGGGTGGTTATAAGAAACAGGTCAGCCAGAATAAGGGAAGTTATCTTTAAGAGCTATGAACAGGATGTCCCATATTCTTTGCTCTGATGTTATTTAATATCCCATCTGCTAGCTTTCCTCCTTCTGTCAGGTTGATTGTCAGCCAAAATAAAATAAAAAAAAAAAGTATGACCAAAGAAGAAATGATGAAAAAATATGGCATAAAATGTTTTATTATAAGCTATCTTTGAATAAATTTCACAATAGTCAGAAAAGTAAGACCTCTGCAACTCATCCAATTTTGACCCAAGGCCCAAGGCTCTACTCCAAACTCCTCATAGCAGTGGGGAAAAAAAAGAAAAGAACGAGAGAGGTTTTTTTTTTTTTTTTTTCCCTTCTCAATTTTAAATCAGTCTTATTCAAGTCTTATGTGCTATTTTATTCTTATTGGGAATACAGGAGGTTCCTAAACAGAGAAGGACAAAATGACATCTTATCATAAAGCACCTTGTGAATAAAAGTTTCATTAGATTTTTATTACAGCTATTGAATTTTATGCAACATACACTGTCTCCTTAAAATACAGATTCATTGAAAATGTGTTTTATTCATTTACACATTTTTCATAATAGCATTTAGAAGCCTGTTAAAAACAAGAAGCTGGCCATGAGGTGAGAATGGCTCAATCAGTTAAAAGTGCCAATTCGCATTCACTGAATAGCACATGAACTATTGAGTTTTTCTAAATTATGCTTACAAGCCAAGCAAGAAAACTACTAACTAGAAATATACTGCTATTTGTTAATGTAGGTTTCCTTAAAAAGTAACATTCTCTATTTTGAGAAGAAAACTGGACTTGCAGTTCCACCAGTTCACTAACAGTTTTGCTTTGTTTTATTTCCTGGGACCATCATAGCTTCAATGTGACTAGGTAATTCAACCATCAGCTGACATTGTATTAACTCTCATAACAAGCAAGTAGTCACATTTAGAATTAATAAACCAAATTTTGCTCCTGATAAATTTTGGGGCAAACTAAATTAAAATAAAATTCTAAAAAGAAAGGCACCTTTGTGGGTAGAATTAATTCACAACAGGAGAGGAAAAGGAAAAAAGGCCTGCATTTCTCAGGCTGCTGCATTTGTTTATCTGTGTATGTTTTTATATATCTGTGAGTGGGCTTCAAAACAAACAAGTGCTTTCAATCTGGAACTTCTTTTTGAGCAGTTCACTTTCTGAGTTCCAGGAAATATGCTATTTGCATTAGCTTCACCGTAAGCATTAAATTAGTTATAATAATTATCAATTCCAATTAGCAGTCATACAAGGCAAGTGACAAAATTGCTTTCCTGAATATCAGTTTTGAAAAGAAATAGAAACAGATGAGGAAAACCTCACTAAGTATACCACCCCAGACAGCTCTAAAAAACTGCTATTTCAAGGTAAACAAAACACAGTTTCTTCTGAATGGATAATTTGTCTCATCAAATACCAAAGAGGCTCCATTAGTATATTCATTCACTCAAAACATTTACACTAGACATTGATTATGTCAAGAGTCTTTTCTAGCAGTGCTAGACCCCGAACTTCCTGGACTCATATGCTGCTTCCTTGTTACACAGGAGGAACACCAAACTGGATCTGCTTGAGATGGTTCTGACAGTCCCATACAATATGTATTTGATTTCATCATTCTTTTAAAAAGTACTAAATAAAAATTATTTTCATTATTGGTCAGTTTACCAAAGTACTGAGGAGTAAGCAAAGATGGACTTACTTTGTTTCCCAGATACGGAGCGGGGGCGCTCCAGTAGTAGTTTTGTGGTAAAGTTTGTTGGGCCTCAGCGTTATTGATGCTGATCTGTTGAGGTGCATCAAAGTCATTCTGCTGGGGAGACACTCGGATGCGGCCGGAGATATCAGTCAGACACCAGCCACTCATGTCTTGTATCTTAAAGAAAGCAGAATCATCATTACTTCGGAGAGGAGAAAGGGAGAAAAACTAAAAAGAGCATCAGCTTCCTTTTTCTTTCATATTTCTTGTAGTGTCCATTTTAGGGGAGAAAAAAAAAGAGATTAGGAAAATAAGAGAGTTGAAAATATCATTAAGCCTGGCATATATATTCGTATAGGATCTTACTGATTATTTTCCCACTTTATCTGAGAGTTTCAATGATACTATATAATAATTTGTTTTGACTGATCCAATGAGTCCTTTAAAAACTTTTCATTCCATATTTGTAATTTCCTTTGTTTATGAAAAATTTTCAAAATTTGTTACATATATATTTATAAATCATAGGAAGAAAATATGCAAGTGCCTGGCAGATAGCTATTCATTCAGTATTTCCTTCCTTCCCACTTAAATTTAATATCTTTAAATTTGAATTTCAAAGCTTAAGAACATTTGAATACACCAGGCTGTTGCTGTAGCCACAGCTAACAATACTGTACCTATTCCTTCCCATAGGGTCAAAATTGTGGTGGAGACCCATAGCTCATATCCCTGGCCCAGAAAAATGAAGTTGATTTAAAGAAGGAATTAGGGAACACAAGGGCATTTACTCTTCCATCTTTATACTCCAGCCCCAGGCAAACAAGCAGCTACTATTCTAATTTAAACTGTGTAATGGCACATAACAACAACAACAACAACAAACCTGGTCAGGACAAAACACGGGTTAGCGAGGTTCAGAGCTAGCAGAGGCATACTAAGTAGATGTGAGCTTCTTAGTTTTGTGGGTAATGGGAACAGAATGATAATGATGATAATACGTGGTGGAAATATTTTTAAAATTTCTTCCAAAGTTGGTAAAAACAAAAACAAAACTCACTGTCAACAAGTCAGATCCAACTCATAGCAACACCCCCTGGGGTTTCCAAGGCTGTATAGACTATAGAAGTAGATTGCTCAACCTTCCTTCCGAGGAGTGGCTGGTGGGTTTGAACCACCAGCCTCCTGGTTAGCAGTCAAATGCCTTAGGCACTAAAGTTAAGGGTAAATTCTGGTAGGAAATATATGCAAGTATAATGATGAATAGTACCACCATTACTCTAAATTGGAAAGTAAATATTTCAGAGAAAATAGAGAAAAGATTTAAAAAAAAAAAAAAAAGCTTCAAATATCTGAGATACAGATTTTAAAATCAATTTAAAGTAATAAATGGTTTAGTATAGAAAATAATAAAGTCAACATAAACCACTTTTAGCTTTTAAATTTATTTTGATAAATGTGCCCCCTGAAAAATACGTTTGCCCACAAACGTTATTGGACAGTCCATGATGTGTTGATGTCATGCAGAAGTTAGTTGATTTTTTATCTCTCAAAGTTTTGGAATCTCTAGGACTACCCTGGTCAGATGAGACAAAAAAAGAGACTAGATAAAAAAGAAATAGGAGAATAGGGAAGGCTTATGTGAGTTCTGGTAGGGTAGTGCCTAAGGGACTTGACTGCTAACCAGAAGGCTGGTGATTCAAACCCACCAGCCACTCAGAAGGAAGGTTGGGCAATCTACTTCCGGAGTGATACCACCTTGGAAACCCAAGGAGGGGTTGCTATGAGTCGGATCCAACTCGACGGCACATAACAACAACAACATACCAATTATGATAATTTTCTCCAGTATCAAATATGTTAGAAAGACAGACAAGAATTAATATATGCTTTACTCCTGTCCCCTTCCCAACATCACCCTTCTGGCATTCTAAGAGAGTCCAGTTATATTTGGGGAAACTTTACAGAAGACTTACAGAAATTCAAAAATTAGACAAGTTTCTGAAGGCAAAGGTTTGCATGCCAGTTCTGCCACTTACTGTCTACGAAACTTTGAAATATTAATGGAACAGATCAAGGGTACGTGAGAATGAGCAACTTAGATTAGATGTCCATTCACTGATTTTATGAAATCAGTTCTAAGAGCAGTACATTTGATTAAGTATGTACAGATTCAAATTTATATAATAGGCTGAGAGTACAATAAGGAACTCATGATATGTTTCAGACTGGGTTTAACACCAACAAACAAACCAAGAAAACCAAACTCACTGCTATCAAGTCAATTCTGACTCATAGTGACCCCTTCTGGTTTTACGGGTGGTGAATCTTTACAGAAGCAGATTGCCCAGTCTTCTTTTCATGGAGTGGCTGGTGGGTTAGAACTACAACCCTTCTGATTAGCAGTCAAATGCCTTAGACACTACACCACCAGAACTCCTTAAAAGCCACATAGGCAAAGAAAAAGATTTTATAATTATGTAAGAATTAGCTGATTACAGTTGAAAGGGAAACATTTTGGTGGATATTGTTCTTGCTATTTGCCATTGAGTTGGACCCAACAAATAGCAACTCCTGCTTTGGTTTCCGAGGCAGTATCCTTACAGAAGTAGATTGCCCAACCCTCCCTCTGAGGAGTGGCTGGGGGGTTTGAACCACCAGCCTCCTGGTTAGCAGTCAAGTGCCTTAGGCACTACGCCACCAGAGCTCCTACTTTTGGTGGATAGTTTATTCAAAGAGAAATCATTGTAAAGCATAAATCTAATCATGCCAATCCCCTGCTTAAAATTCTTAAATGACTCTCAAGTGTAAGATACCAACTTCTAGCACCCTCAGTCCTGTATGACATGGGTTCTAATTCTCACTCTCGGCTTCTCTTTCTCTAGCCTGCATCTATCACGTAGCACTTTGAAGTTCCAGCCACAGAAGCTATTTGGATTTCCCCAGAAGCCGCCTTTGTTTCTCACACTTTTCATAGAGTGAAAAGAGAGTGGGGAGTGGGCTGGGCAACGGAGACAGAAAGGAAAAAAGATGTTAGAGTAAGAAAGTCCCAGTAACTACAAATAGTTTAAGTAATTTGAAAATTTTTCACATTAATTACGAATGAAGGTATTTAGTACCAACTTTATTCCAAATTCAGTAACCCATTTTAAAAAAATGAAAAAGCTTGTGCAACTTCAAATTGTAACAAGAAACTGATGAGTAACATACATTGTGTATATAGATGAAAGCGTATTTTCTTACTCTATGCACAATAATCAGTGGTGTAATGAGAAATGGAATTCTTCAAATAGCAATTTGATGGTTTCTCTATAGAAACACCCCCCAGGTTAAAAGAACATTAATTTCATTCCTGTTTTACATATTGATCATGGACACCAAAAAGGCTAGTATCTACATAGTTGAAGAGATTTCAAGACAATAACACATTGTTATAAGATAACCTTACAGGCTTTGATCAGAGACATACAAATTGTATTTGAAAGAAAATTCCATCATTTCTTTTGCTAACTTGAGGTAGATACTCACTACAAGAAAAAGAATTGATTAAAATTTTTTTAGAAAAGAAAATGACAGAAGCAACACAAAAATGCTTGTAGAGCAGTGTTTCTTACTTTGCCGTAGGTCCAATAAGAACTCTGACACCTGTTTGACACCCCTGAACAGAAACACTCATCACAGCCTTCAGGGTTATCCTCTTGCAAATTGAAGAAGCCAGATTTGCAATGACTGCAGTCTCTTCCTTCAACATTTTCCTGTGTATACAGAGGTATGTTAGAAACAAACAACGGTACCATTCAAAACTGAGTTTTCCATCTCAATTTCTGTATAAGGAAGATGTTCTCTGTCCATCCTTCCTTTTTTCTACTCAACAACCATATGTAAAGTATAATGACAATTAATAATTCAGCTAAAGCCTTCTTATTAAGCTACCTTCTTCCTAAACAGGCTGATGGAAAAGAATTTTGGATGATAATATGTTATATTCAAAGTTACAATTATGATCGTCTTCATCTGGGTCACAAGTGTAGAGCAAACATCATGATAAATCTAATAATTTAGACTGAAAAGTGGTCAGTTTTGTTCATTATTCATTAACAAAGAGTCTTCACTAAATCTTTGTCGTCACATCCCTAATCTTAGGCCATATACATATGATAAACTAAATCATGAGACTCGTACATGAATGTATAATAGAATATTGACATTACACAGATTTTAAAATATTTTTCTCATTAAACATTTTAAATGCATACACTTGAGGCAAGCATAAGAACTTGACAGGTAGAAAAATTGAGGCAATCACTCATAGCACTTCCTTGCCCAGACTAAGTAGAAAAGGAGAAATATTTTCCCTCCTTAACTTTTACCATGTTTCCTTTATCATAGTAGTATAGTCATTTAATCATATACTATTATCATGGGAAAAAAAGTCTCATTTGGTAACTACTCTTTAGATTGGTTCCATGAATCCTAGTTGCAGTAGATAAATAATTGGCGGTTGAGGGTGCCTATTACGTGAACTCAGAACTGTAAAAATGACTGTAATGAACAACTGGGGAGGATTTACTCTCAGTTTAGAGTATGGTTAATCTTATAAATAGCATATAAATTACAACTACCTGCTTCTCCAAAACGGATTCTCAATATTCCCTTAACGTACATTTGCTCCACATTTTCCCTCTTTCTTTGAATTTTCTTATTTTTTTCAATTCTGACATTTTCCTTTTCCTTGGAGAATTAAGTAATGTCTTAATTGTGTTCCCAAAGACGTTTATGCATTGCCCTATTTTAACCATCATACTTGTACACCCCCCACACACACACACACACAGAGCTACTTTTTCTAAGAGTGGTCTCTCCAGCTTTACCATAATGTATTCAGAGGTAGAAACTGTCTTAGTTATCTCTCTAGTCCCAGAAACTAGTAGGGTTTCTGGTACTAGCTTCATCAAATTTTGTTAAATTTAAGCAAATCTCCTGATGATTGTGTTTTACCATGCATCACCAAGTGCTATGCATATGTTATTGTTATCGTGTGCCATTGAGTTGGCTCTGACACAAAGTGACCCTAGGTACAACAGTGCAGAACATTGCCCAGTTGTGTGCCATCCTCACAATTGTTACTAAGCTTTGGAGCCCACTGTTGCAGCCACTGTGTCAATCTGTCTTGTTGAAGGTCTTCCCCTTTTCACTGACCTTCCACTTTACTAATCACAATATCCTTCTCCAGGGAATGGTTCCTTCTGACCACATGACCAAACTAGGTGAGATGATATCTGGCCATTCTCACTCCAAGGAGTACTCTGGCTGCACCTCTTCCAGGAAAGATTTGTTCATTTTTTCTGGAAGCTCATAGAATTTTCAGTATTCTTCACCAACACCGCAATTCGAAAGCATTGACTCTTCCTTGGTCTTCCTTATCGTTGTCCAGCTTTCATATGCATGGGAGGCTATTGACAAAACCATGGCTTGGGTCACACACCATAATCTTCAAAGTGACGTCTTCGCCCTTTTGCACTTTAAAGAGGTCTTTTGCAGCACATTTGCTCAAGGACACCTGATTTCTTGACTGCTGCTTCCATGGATGTTGATTGTGAATCCAAGTAAAATGAAATCTGTGACAACTCAGTCTTTTCCCCATTTATTGTGATGCTGCTGATTGGCCCAGTTTTAGGCATTTTTTAAATGTATATATATATATAGTAGATGTTTAATTAAAAAAAATTTGTAAATAAACCAAGATTGGACAGGAGATAGGGATAGTAAAATATAAAAATATACAGGAAAATACATAAGAAAAGGGAGAAAATGGAGAGAAAAATAAAGAGAAATTTATCAGAGTAAACAAAGAACTTGTTTGTAGCCCAGAGAATAATTTGTTTGAAATGAGCTTTTTGACTCTTAAGTTTTGTGACGTTGATATGTTTACAACTTCAACCATTTTACATTGGCAGGGGTCCTAACAAGCAGATGTTGCTAGACTTGTTTCAGTTGTTAAATTTTAGCATTCTGATAGGTAAACAAATTGAAACATTGCCATTAAACTTTTTGCCAGTTTTCATTTTTAAGGTAGATTTTAGATATTATGAGATTGTGATAGGTTTTAGCAAATCTAATCACACTCTTTTCAGATCTATGGTGCTAAACAAGTCTCCAAAGCAGTGAAGTTGAGAGCATCTTTGGAAGGGCACAAAGGGAAGATGTAACATACACAGTTATAATTTAGCTTATCAGATTGGGGACACAGTACAGCTGTTCTGTATGCTGTGTTCTAATGTGCCTGGTCTAATCTACAATTCATATACTCTGTTTTTAATGTTTCTAATATCACTTTTCTGAGATTCAGACTGAGTTCAACCATTACGAGAAATTTTTAGACATCACTTATATTTTCCTTAACTCTATTTGAGCCTACTAATATGACCTTGAACAAATTATGTTGAATAATTGCAATATTCAATTTCATTTAATAACCATAACCAATACATTAGAATAGGAATTCTAGAGGATAAAAAGATGGATGGGTTAAGGTCTCTGCCTTTAAAAGCCAACAACTAGTTGAGTAAAATGATAGAATCACAATCAACTATAATGCAAGGTGGAGCACAAAAAGTGCATCTCAGAAATAAAGTGAATTATAATAACATAGGAGAGGATGCATTAATTCAGGGTATAAGTCTAGGAAACTAGACTGTATGGGAGGAGTAGAATTTAAGCTAAATCTTGAAATATGGGATAAAAATTCAAGCTATTGACAGAGACAAAGGGAGGATACTATACTGACACAGAGATTGGGAACAAGAAATATTTCTAAAATTAAAAAGTTCATTGATTATTTATTCTTTCAAAAAATACGTGTTGAATACTTCCTATATGCTAGGGATTTTAGCCTGGTGCTTTGGATCCAGAGTCCCAGCCTTCAAATAACGAACCTGTAGATGGCATATAACAACAACAACAACATGTTTACTCTAAGGCACAGATCTATTCCCAAAGAAACTGGTAAGTAACTAAAGTTATTTACCAAGAGATAAACCAACAGAAGGAGCTCTGGTAGCATAGTGGCTAAGACACTTGCCCGCTAACCAGACGGCTGGCGGTTCAAACCCACCAGCCACTCCTCGGAAGGAAGGTTGGGCAATCCTACTTCCGTAGTGATACAGCCTCGGAAACCCAAGGAGGGGTCGCTATGAGTTGGGGCCGACTGGATGGCACATAACAACAACAACAAACCAACAGAACTCCCCTTGAAGCAATAGCAAGCAAAATGCATATGAAATGTGTGAGACTGGAACAAAGGAAACTTTCGTTACCATCGTAACAATGATAGGAAGTCTACAACTTTCCAAACAGCTTAACCAAGTGCTAGTTCTGCTCTGCTTGTGGTGAAAAATCTTTGAGCCGAAATTATTTAGACCTGTTACAGGTCATCAAGCTGATCATATTCTTCCTTCCCAATTCCTCCTCATTTCAACCTTAGACACAACTAATTATCATCTCATGACATTTTCATAGACCTTATATAAGTTTTCACAGCATACCAGCTTAATGCCACAACTTTTAAGTTTCTAGAGTACTGCTTTTTAGCTCTGAGTCTATACCACATTTTTTCTTTCAGTGATTGGTAGTTTCTGATCAGATTGTGCTACATTAGTTAAATCTGAAAATATTGGATTTTGATATTTCTCAGGCTCTACTACAGACTAATATTACACAACTAAGTACCTGAGTGGTGTAGAAGGTTAGCACCCTTGGTTGCCAACCAAAAGGTTGGAGGTTAGAGTCCATCCAGAAGCACCTCAGAGAATGGCCTGGAAATTTACTTCAAGAACAAAACAAAACAGAAAAACAGCCATTGAAAACCCTGTGGAACACAGTTCTCTGACACATGTGCAGTTGCCATGAGTCAGAATCAATTCAACTGCAACTGATAAATTAATAAATGGTAGAGTATATGCTGGTTTATCTGTCCTTACGATTAAAGAGACTGTGAGAAAAAGGACAAATAAGGGAAAAAGATGTTTAGCGCACTAGAACTCTGCCCTCTGGACATGCCTTTAGATGTAGAGGACTAACTAGGTAGATCAGATTCTACTTGTCCTTCCCTTTTCCAATCTCCCTTGGGAGAATTCATATCCAGGTGTTTATTTAAGCAATTGCTTTCTTAGAGGACTGTGTTTCAAAGGTTACCTTTATTTTGCATATAGTTTTAAAACTAGAGAGCAAAATAATATGATATGAAACTTATTTTATATATTTTGTAGTTGTTGTTGTTATGTGCCATGGAGTCGGACCCGACTCATAGCGACCCCTCCTTGGGTTTTCGAGGCAGTATCACTACGGAAGTAGATTGCCCCATCTTCCTTCCGAGGAGTGGCT